GAGGGAGTGAGAGAGGGAGTGAGAGAGAGGGAGTGAGAGAGAGAGTGAGAGAGGAGTGAGAGAGGGAGTGAGAGAGAGGGAGTGAGAGAGGGAGTGAGAGAGGGAGTGAGAGAGAGGGAGTGAGAGAGAGGGAGCGAGAGAGGGAGTGAGAGAGGGAGTGAGAGAGAGGGAGCGAGAGAGGGAGTGAGAGAGGGAGTGAGAGAGGGAGTGAGAGAGGGAGTGAGAGAGGAGCGAGAGAGGGAGTGAGAGAGAGGGAGTGAGAGAGAGGGAGTGAGAGAGAGGGAGTGAGAGAGGGAGTGAGAGGGAGTGAGAGAGAGGGAGGAGAGAGGGTGAGAGAGGGAGTGAGAGAGGGAGTGAGAGAGGGAGTGAGAGTCGGAGAGATGGAGGAGGAGAGCGAGCGCTCAGGGCGGAGGGGAGGAGATGATGATAAACGGTAACGTGTTGATTTCCGGGAAGTTTTGGGGGAAATGACGGATTCCTTCCCGTCCGCCGGAAGCGGTCAATGCCCCCCCCCCCCCCCCCCCCCGCTCTGGCTGCTGATTGGCCGCCCGGAGCCGCTGTCAATCAATGTGCGGTGGTGACTCCGCCCCTCTCCGGCCCCGCCCTCCTCTCGGTCCCGTTCCTCCCGCCCCCTTCGCTGATTGACAGCCGTCGGATGGAAACCGGTTCAAGGCCCAAACCAACCGGGACCCGGCGCCTGTTGTCCGAATTAACCGGTGTCCAACGTTACCCGAGTACCGCGGCCGCCATTGTGTGCGGTTATATGCCGCGGTGACGCTGTGTCACCAACGGGTGGCGCTGCCCCGCGCGCTGTGTGGTTATATGCTGCGGTGACGCTGTGGCACCAACAGGTGGCGCTGCAGCCGCTCCGCACTGTCAGTGAGACACCGCCACCATCACAGAGATAGGGCGCTTTCACCGCGCAGTGCATTGTGGCTCCTGAGCACCGCCATTGCTCCCGTTGCTTCTGGTCAGTGTCAGCAACACTGTGTCTGTGAGTGTAATGTGAGTGTGTCATGTGAGTGTGTGAGTGTGACTGTGTGTAATGTGAGTGTGTGTGTGTCTGAGTAAGTGTGTCTGTGTGTATCTGTGTGTTTCTGTGTGTGAGTGTGTGTCTGAGTGTGTGTGTGATGTGTGATGTATGTGTGAGTGTAATGTGAGTGACTGTGTAATGTGAGTGTGTGTGTGTCTGAGTGTGTGTGTCTGTGTATATCTGTGTGTGAGTGTGTCTATGTTTATGTGTATCTCTTGTCTGTGTGTGTATCTCTGTGTGTGTGTGTGTGTCTCTGTGTGTGTGTATCTCTTGTCTGTGTGTGTATCTCTGTGTGTGTGTGTATCTGTATCTGTGTGTGTGTCTCTGTGTGTGTGTGTGTATCTGTATCTGTGTGTGTGTCTCTGTGTGTGTGTGTGTGTCTCTCTGTATCTGTGTCTGTGTGTGTGTCTCTGTGTGTGTGTGTGTGTCTCTCTGTATCTGTGTCTGTGTGTGTGTCTCTGTGTGTGTGTGTGTCTATCTGTGTGTATCTGTGTGTGTGTGTGTATCTGTGTCTGTGTGTGTGTCTCTGTGTGTGTGTGTGTCTCTGTGTGTGTGTGTGTGTGTCTCTGTGTGTGTGTGTGTCTCTGTGTGTGTGTGTGTGTCTCTGTGTGTGTGTCTATCTGTGTGTGTCTCTGTGTGTGTGTGTGTCTCTGTGTGTGTGTGTGTGTCTCTGTGTGTGTGTCTATCTGTGTGTGTCTCTGTGTGTGTGTGTGTGTGTTTAATGTGAGTGTGTGAGTGAGTAATGTGAGTGTGAGTGTGTGTAATGTGAGTGTGTGTCTGTGTCTATCTGTGTGTGTGTGTGTCTGTGAGTGTGTTTCTCTGTGTGTGTGTGTCTGTATCTGTGTGTGTGTGTGTCTGTATCTCTGTGTGTGTCTGTATCTCTGTGTGTGTGTCTGTATCTCTGTGTGTTTGTCTGTATCTCTGTGTGTGTGTGTTTCTGTGTGTGTGTCTGTATCTGTGTGCGTGTGTGTCTGTATCTCTGTGTGTGTGTTTCTCTGTGTGTGTGTTTGTATCTCTGTGTGTGTGTGTCTGTATCTGTGTGTGTGAGCGACATCTGGCGACAACTCTTTCCAGGACCTTGGAGAGAAAGGGGAGGTTGGAGATGGGCCGGTAGCTTGATAACGTCCCAAGGCATTAGACAGTCAGAGTTTTGGACCCAAGCTGCGGGTTGGGATTGGGGAGGGTGTATGGCATGGGGAATCAGGGTGATTGAAAGCAGGGTCGAAGAGGAGATTCTTAACATGGGTCTTAAAGGAAGCAAGCAAGGAGGCGAGGCTGAGGTTTAACTGTATTTAGACGTCCAGAGGATCGGTGAGAGTGAATGAGCTCCACCATTTTCATGGCAGATAATGATCCGTTGCCAAGGTTGGTGCAACATCTTCTGTACCATGATGGAGTAACAAGTTGATATGTATATCTGATAGCTTGTTTCACCTCCTCTGTAGGCTTAGAAAATAAAAAATCATTTTAAGAAAGAAAACCTGGGGTTGCTAAACACCCTGTAGATTATCCCTCAACATAAAACTGTATTCATCATAATAATAATCCTTGCATTTGATATAGCGCCTTCTCACATCTGCGAGAGGTCACAACGCACCTCATAGAATATACTGCAAATTTATTTGACTGTATATTTTGTGGGCAAAACACTGCAGCCAATTGCGCTCAGTAGTGGCCAACAAAGTCGTGGATTGAGTGATCAAATTATTAATAGTTTTTGGAAGGAATTATTACTCCCGGAAAAGCCATACACCAATCCACTAACAACCAGTCTCTATGTACTGCTGGGTAAACAGAGGCATGTGGAGTAAGGAAACTTGCCCAACATGTCGCACTACCGGGAATCGAACCCAGGTCTCTCGCTTGTGAGGCGAGTGCTCTAACCACTGAGCTACACGACTATACATAATCAGTTTGTCAATGTAGTAACAATGTGTCTATACTAACAATTTCAATTTTTTATTCAACAGACCTTCAGAAAAGACTGGGTAAGCAAAATTATACAACAATCTCTGTTGTGATGAAATCTCATTGACATTAGATCACCTCAACACCAAATAGTTGCATAAAATGTGTTTCACACAATCTTCGTGACTGAGAGATAAATGTTAACAAACCCCAATATTTATCCTGAGATACTAATAATCGACTGAGATGAAGGTAGTGCATGAACCAAAAAGATAGATTTACTTTGAAAGCAATAATGTGCAGAGCTATGGGGTAAGAGCAGGAGAATGGGACTAATTGGTAGTTATTTCAAAAACATGTCACGGGTACGATGGGCCGAATGCCCTCCTTCTGTGCTGTAAGATACAGTCTATATTTCTATATATTCTATATATTCTATATCAATTCGAGTTATGTTATGGTTATTAATTGGTACACTTCCCCTTCTCTTACACAGCTTTCTTACCAACCGTCATTGCCGAGAGTTAGTGCTCGGGCTGCCTCCTTCCTTGTTGGAAAATGTTCCACAAAATCCTGGTCAAATTTTATAAACAGCTTCACTTTTCAGGCCTCACAAGTCCTTTATCACAGTAATAATAATAATAATAATGACCATAAGCCTTACATTTAATATAATGCTTTTCGCATCTTCTAGACGTCTCAAAGTGCTTCACAGAATATACTGCAAAGTGTATTCTGTATATTTATGGGCAAAAAGCAGCAACCAAATTGAAGTGACCAATTTATTATTGTTTTTTTTCTTGAGGGATTATTATTAGGCGTGTGGAGTGTGGAAACTGAATTAAATTCAGATTTTTATTGATAAATGGTTTCAGATCTTGAACATTTCTGAAGTAAATTATAAAGGAAATATACCAGTGATATCACCTCATGTGGAGGGTTTCTGATCACTGAAAGCTGAGAAAAAGTAAATCAAAACTACCAAATTAATTCCAATGTATTACAAACTTAACCAGAAATAACTTAATTTCAGACCTACTAGAAAAAAATAAAGCATAAAGTACATTACGATATATATTATTATTTATAGTAAATACTATCAAGCACATTATTATGGCCTTGCTGATTTGGCTAATCTTTTGAATTATGGAGTCCTGTAGCTCAGTGTTTAGAGCATTCGCCTCACAAGCGAGAGGTCACGGGTTTGATTCCTAAACAGGGAAAAACCTAAGGCCAGTTTCCTTACTCCACGTGCCTCTGTTTACACAGCAATAAGTGGGAACCTGGCTGTTTGTCAATTAATCTTCACTTTTCCAGGTGTAATAATCTCTTTAAAAGCAAAATTTAGAGCAGTCGCTTTGCAAGTGAGAGACCTGAGTTCAATCCCAGGCAGAGGGCGAAACCTTGGTTAAATTCCCTTAATCCACACAGAGCCTAATAATAATCCCTCCAAAAAAACAAAACAATAATAAATTGGTCATTTTCAATCCATGACTGTGTGTGGGACACTGCTGTGCGCAATTGGCTGCCGCGTTCGCCCACAAATATACAATCAATTCACTTTACAGTGTATTCTGTGAGGCGCTTTGGGAAGTCCTCCAGACGTGAAAAGCACTATATCAAATGCAAGGATTATTATTATTATTATTTTTAAAATAATAATTTGGGTCACTCAATCCATGTCTGTTTGTGTGACACTGCTGTGCACAATTGACTGCTGTGTTTCGCTCACAAAATACAGTCAATTCACTTAGCAGTAAATCCTGTGATGCGCTTTGAGACATCTCAATGACGTGGTAAAGCTCTATATCAAATGCAAGAATTATTACAATGATTATAATTAATATATAGAGAAAACTCTAATTAAGTTATCAGCATCTCACACATTATAATCTGTGGCTGGTGTGAATTGGCTGAACACAGCGGCAGCTCTCAGTGTGAGGGGCAGTGGCTTTCCATGGACTCACTCATGTACATTGACTTCAAACATGAACATACTCCTCATCTGCGTGTGCGGCAGCTGTGAAACTGATTAATTCTCCTTTCTTCTTGTTTCCAGAGCGGAGAAAGTTCACCCCCTACGCAGGTAAGAGTCTCAGTAACCTGGGAACACAATATTCCCATAAACCTGCCACGTTCATTGTCAAACACTGGGACTGTCCACTCTGAAAGGAACTCCTGCAATCGGTTACACTCTGTTACAAAGTGGTCCATAAGATATGGATTGGTCAGTGACATGTAGAATGAACACAGTCATCCTGGAGGGATAAAAGATGTGTCAGCCGGGCTCAGTGGGAGCTTTCTCGCCTCTGAGTCAGAATCTCACATCGGATCTTGGAATCACATCGTCTAAGCTGATGCTCCAATTCAGTGCTGGGGGTGTGTTGTATTGACAGAGGTGTCCTTCAGATGCGATGTTAAACCGAGGTCCTGTCTGCCTGTTCTGGTGGCCATTAAAGATCCCGTGGCAGAACTCGACAAGAGAAGGGAGTTTCCCCTGGTCAACAAATCCCCCAAATAAAATTGATCCCTCACCCCAGGACTGTTGGTGCAACGCTTCTGAGTGCAAACTGGATGCCATGTTTCTCCCATAAATCACACAGTCAATTCACTTTAGAGTATATTCTGGTTTGATGATGTGATAAGCACTGTATCAAACACAAGGATTATTATTATAAAAGTCTTGCAGAGTTAAATATATTATAATTTTTCAAATAAGACTCTTGGGTGGAAAACAGGTCAGTGGAAATATCAGAAAATTCAATCAGAAGGTGAGAGGAAAATAGGCAGACTCTGCCTTTGTGATTTGAGGAAATGTTCAGAGCAACAAATGCAAAGTGCAGGAATATAATTTTTCTCCAGAGAGATGGGAAAACTGGAAAAAGTAGTCCATGTTCATCACAATCCATCAACCGGGGAAATCTAATCCATGGTTATACAAGATCCTAAAATCATGAACAAGAACAATTTACAGGTTTGTGCTGCCAGGACTGGTTTACTTTTCCAAAATGTAAATGTCAACATTTCCACATCGCGGCCTTCGCTTTCCTCCCCCTCCAACACACACACCGTCACTTACACCCCCACACAAAACACACCCTCACATCACCCCCCACCCCTGACACACACACACACATACAGTGAACCTTTTTTCTGGATTCTGTTACCACGAGATGTTGATGTATTACACAGTGTGTAATGTGTGATGCTAAAGATTATTTTATTTATAGCTGTAAGTGTGGTTCACTGTTCTGAGTAATGTTCTGATTCTCACTCTAGTTACAGTCACTCTGGATCCTGACACAGCCCATCCTCAGCTCATCCTGTCTGACGACCTGATCAGTGTGAGAGTTGGAGATGAACAGCAGCAGCTCCCGGACATCCCGGAGAGGTTCATTAACTGGCCATTTGTGCTGGGATCTGAGGGCTACATGTCGGGGGGACATTACTGGGAGGTGCAGGTGGGCAACAAGACTGACTGGATTGTGGGAGTAGCCAGAGAGTCGGTGGACAGAAAAGAACCCATCACAGAGGGTGGAGTCTGGTGTGTGTGTCTGATGGGTGTGGTCTATTATGCTCTGACCTCCCATCGTACCTGTCTGACCCCGAGAGAGAGACCCGGGAAGGTCGGAGTGTTCCTGGACTATGAGGGGGGACAGGTGTCATTTTACAACGCTGACAACATGGCTCATCTCCACACTTTCACCCAAACTTTCACTGAGAAACTTTATCCTCTGTTCAGTCCCTGGTATAATGAGGACGGAGGAAACTCTGAGCCGCTGACAATCTGCTCAGTGAGAGCTTAATAAGATGGAAAACCCTCAGCCATTCACTAGATTGATAAGCGGTGGGTGAAAATATTCTCGGGGAGATGAGTGGGACTGTTCCCCTTAAGACGGATGTGATCTCTGTGCCATCATCAAAGATGGGTTCTCCTCCCTCTTCACCACTGACTCCGAGGTCCATCGGCCAATCAGAGCTCATGATGTCCAGACGAGCAGCCGTTGACAAGTTAGGTGAAGGGCAAGAGGGGCCCATGTGTTGGGGACGTTGAGGAGACTGACTGTGGTCTTCCTCAGGGCTTTTTCCTCCCAGCTCCCCTTAAACAGGTGACGGTAATAGGTTGTGGGAGGAGGGTGGGAGGAGGGGGGTATGGGTGCTGAGACCCTCGAGCACTCGTAACCCGCTGTCTACACAGAGCTTTACTTGTTTTTTCTTATTAATAATAATCAATCCTTGTGTCTCCCTTTGTGATTGCTTTTGATGACTATATTCATTTTAATACCTTTTATCTGTTTATGTAATTAAACAATGAATCACAAGATGATTATTAATGATAACAATAATCCTTGCATTTCATATAGGGCCTGATAACACCTTCGAGATATCTCAAAGCCCTTCACAGAATATAATGGAAAGTTGATTGCGTATGTATTTTGTGGGCAAAACGCAGCAGGCAATTGCACACAGTAATGTCCCACACACAGTCGTGTTTAAAATTATTTAATTATTATTTAAATAATTTTATCTTTCTATCCCAGACAGCTCGGTTTATATATGAAAAATAAAATATTTGAAACTCCTGAAGAAATATTAAACTCTAATTTATAATAATAATAACAAAGGATCCGATATGGAACGTAGATTGCAGTGATAGCACTGACAAACCATTTAACATGCCACGAACACTGTATGTACACCTTAAGCAAAACTCCCATACATGTGCGATGGGTCATAGCTCATCAACAATGAAAGATATTGTCAATGCTATGCTAACCGGACGAGTTTATATGTGATCCAGATTGTCTTTGAGTTATTGCAAAGCTTCCATGTAGATGACATTTACAGTTTCTCCTTCGAACATGATGTACAGGTTTTGAGATCATGTCGTTCTGTGTCGAAGTCCAACTGAGCTGTTCTTTGTTCTTCAGTTTCATTTATTCAGACTTCTCTCCTTTGTGTGGCATTTTTGTTCTCCTTGGAAGGCTTGATCTTCCCTTAGGTATCCTTAAGATTAAGAAAATGTGCCTTTGGGATGGCGGCTGTTGGAAGGACTCAATAGGAAGACTCAGTGGGAGGATTCCTTGTTGGGAGGACTTAGTGGGAGGACTCCTTTCGCTATGTTATTGCAGAATATGGAAGGGAGTGTGATTTTGTTGCAGAGTACTGTGCATACCTCATATTTTGAGGATTAAGCTCATCAACGATAGATATCTGCCCACAAAAATATGCCCACGACACTCTGCATTGCATACTTTTCTGATGAGGTATAAATCATGTCACCTGGTAAATTTCCTTTGCACCCTGCAGAACTCTAGCTGAGGCCTAACCAGTGTTTTATAAAGTACCACTTCCTGAATTTTGCCCCTATTAATACAGCCAAGTATTTCCTATATATTTTTAAATAGCTTTGTCTTCCTGTCCTGCGACCTTCAAAGATTTACTGTACCAACTATGAGGTCCCACATCCCGAAATACATCACTTTGCATTTCTCCACATTAAACTTCATGTGCCACATGTCTGCCCATTCTACCACTCTGTCTACGTCCTCTTATATTCTGCTACTATCCTCCTCTCCGTTCACTGCTTGTCTTAGCTTAGTATCATCTGCAGACTTAAAACTTGGCAATTGTACTCCCTTTAGCCAATTCAATTCCGCTCAGCCGGCTCTGGCTGCTCAACGTCCCCCGACCCACCCGCCCACCATTGGCGGGAGAGCCTTCAGCCACTCCGCCCCAACCTCTGGGAATCCATCCCCCAGTCACTCCGCCTCGCCCCCTCCTTAGCCTCCTTTAAGTCTCGCCTCAAGACCCTCCTCATCGACCACACCATCGGCCTCTCCCCTCCCCTCCCCCCCCCGACCCCACTCAGGTCTGAAATGCTGTACTCTGTCCAGCGCCTCAGGACGTCCTCCCGACGTGAAAGGCGCTATACAAATGTAATCGTGTTGTTGTCTGAGTGGCTGTTCACATTTTGAACAATTTAATGTACATTTCCAACTGATTCCGGCACTTACTGGAAACTTCAGCAAATTTCTTGCAGCACTTTCTCGAAGTTACAGCTGATGAGCTGTGGTGTCGGCACTTGACATGAACTTTTGGCTCATTTCCAGCTGCACTGTCGAGAAACTTCTGCTGATTTCCAGTAACTTTACACATCTTCACTTCAATAATAATAACTTCATATAAACTTTGACTTCGTGATGTTTTGGACACTTTCAATGAAGTTTCAGCGGATCTCCCGCTGTGTCTATCACTTCCCCAAAATTTCAGCAAAAATTGCGAACAATTTGATATGAGTTCCCAATGGTTTACAGCACTTTCCAGAAGTTTCAGCTGATAACCAGCGGTCGAACACTCACGTGAACGTTTGTCTGGTTTCCAGCGACACATTCCCAAAGTTTCGGCTGATTTCCAGTGATCGCGATCTCCACATATTAAGAAGAAGTCGCGGCTGATTCCAGATGTTTGGAAACTTTTGCGCTAATTTTCAGCTGATTTCCAGCTGTTTGGGGGCATTTTTCCTGAAGTTTGTGCTGATTTTCGGGTGTTTCTGCCCTTTCACACTGAGGTGCCGCTGATTTTCAGGTTTCGGCACTTTTGCGCTGTATTTGTGCTGAATTCCAGATGTTCCCAGAAGTTTCGATGCGGTTTTCCTGATTTACAGCGGATTCTCCGCTTCGTTCCTTCCTGAGGTTTCCCCACAGTTCCGCCGCTCTGATTGGCCGCCAACCCGGAAGCTTCTGGGGGTTTCTGTCCGTGACGTCACCGCACCGCCCTCTGATTGGCCGCCGTGGGCGACAGACCCGCCCACAGCCCGAGCAGCTGATGCCATATACAGAGAGTCAGAGCCACAGCCACAGAGTGACCGAGAGCACAGCCACAGAGTGACGGAGAGCAGAGCCACAGCCACAGAGTGACCGAGAGCACAGCCACAGCCACAGAGTGACCGAGAGCAGAGCCACAGCCACAGAGTGACCGAGAGCACAGCCACAGAGTGACCGAGAGCAGAAGCCACAGAGTGACCGAGAGCACAGCCACAGCCACAGAGTGACCGAGAGCAGAGCACAGAGTGACCGAGAGCACAGCACAGCCACAGAGAGACCGAGAGCACAGCCACAGCCACAGAGTGACCGAGAGCAGAGCCACAGCTACAGAGAGACCGAGAGCACAGCCACAGAGAGACCGAGAGCACAGCCACAGCCACAGAGAGACCGAGAGCACAGCCACAGAGTGACCGAGAGCAGAGCCACAGCCACAGAGAGACCGAGAGCAGAGCACAGAGTGACCGAGAGCACAGCCCCAGCCACAGAGTGACCGAGAGCAGAGCCACAGCCACAGAGTGACCGAGAGCAGAGCCACAGAGTGACCGAGAGCACAGCCACAGCCACAGAGTGACCGAGAGCAGAGCCACAGAGTGACCGAGAGCACAGCCACAGAGTGACCGAGAGCAGAGCCACAGCCACAGAGAGACCGAGAGAGACAGAGAGAGAGACTGAGAGTGAGACAGAGAGAGAGAGAGAGAGAGGAGAGAGAACGAAAGACAGAGAGAGAGAGAGAGAGAGAAAGAAGACACAGAGAGAAAAACTTCTCCGCAGCGACTCCACCACAAGATCCACTGCCATTGGGACAGCGATTCCGAGTCAAAGCTCTGAGTTCCATAAAGTCCCGGCCACTGACTGCAGGACAATGGCCACAGCGATTGGCATCGACCTGGGCACCACCTACTCCTGTGTGGGTGTGTTCAGCACGGCAAGGTGGAGATCATCGCCAACGACCAGGGCAACCGCACCACGCCCAGCTACGTGGCCTTCAACGACACCGAGAGGCTGATCGGGGAGGCGGCCAAGAACCAGGTGGCCCTCAACCCCCCCAACACCGTCTTTGATGCCAAGAGGCTGATAGGGAGGAAGTTCGATGACCCTGTGGTGCAGGCGGACATGAAGCACTGGCCTTTCCAGGTGTTGAGCCAGGGGGAAAACCCATGGTGCAGGTTGAGTACAAGGGAGAGCCCAAGACTTTCAACCCTGAGGAGATCTCCTCTATGGTTCTAACCAAGATGAAGGAGATCGCTGAGGCTTATCTGGGCTCCAAGGTCACCAACGCTGTCATCACGGTGCCCGCTTACTTCAACGACTCCCAGCGCCAGGCCACCAAAGATGCCGGAGTGATAGCAGGGCTCAATGTCCTCCGAATAATCAACGAGCCCACGGCGGCCGCCATCGCATACGGCCTGGACAAGAAGGGCCACGGGGAGAGGAACATCCTGATCTTCGACCTGGGTGGGGGCACCTTCGATGTGTCCGTCCTCACCATCGATGGTGGGATCTTCGAGGTCAAATCCACGGCTGGTGATACCCACCTGGGGGGCGAGGACTTTGACAGCCGCATGGTTGACCACTTCATCCAGGAGTTCAAGAGGAAACACAAGAGGGACATCAGCCAGAACAAGAGGGCGGTCAGGAGGCTGAGGACAGCCTGTGAGAGGGCAAAGAGGACTCTGTCTTCAAGCACCCAAGCCAGCATTGAGATCGACTCCCTCTTTGAAGGCATCGACTTCTACACCTCCATCACCAGGGCACGGTTTGAGGAGCTCAATGGGGACCTGTTCAGAGGGACCCTGGAGCCAGTGGAGAAAGCATTAACTGACGCGAAGCTGGACAAGTCTCAGATCCAAGATGTGGTCCTCGTCGGTGGCTCCACTCGCATCCCGAAGATCCAGAAACTTCTGCAGGATTTCTTCAACGGCCGAGAGCTGAACAAGGGCATCAACCCAGATGAGGCAGTGGCTTATGGTGCGGCTGTGCAAGCCGCCATCCTGATGGGTGACAAGTCTCAGAACGTGCAGGACCTTCTCCTGCTGGACGTGACTCCTCTGTCCCTGGGGCTGGAGACGGCGGGAGGCGTGATGACCGCCCTCATCAAGAGGAACTCAACCATCCCCACCAAACAGACCCAGGTCTTCACCACCTACTCCGACAACCAGCCCGGCGTCTTGGTGCAAGTGTATGAGGGTGAGAGAGCCATGACCAAGGACAACAACCTCCTGGGCAAGTTCGAGCTGAGTGGAATCCCCCCGGCCCCCCGTGGAGTTCCGCAGATCCAGGTCACCTTCGACATCGATGCCAATGGTATCCTGAACGTCTCGGCTGCTGACAAGAGCACAGGCAAGGAGAACAAGATCACCATCACCAACGAGAAGGGTCGGCTGAGCAAGGAGGAGATTGAGAGGATGGTGCAGGAGGCCGAGAACTACAAGGTGGATGACGAGTTGCAGCGGGAGAGGGTGGCGGCCAAGAACGGGCTGGAGTCGTTCGTCTACGCAGCCAAAAGTGCAATGGAGGACAAGAGCACAGAGGGCAAGGTGGGCGAGGAGGAAAGGAGGCAGGCGCTGGACAAGTGCAGACAGGTCATTGCCTGGCTGGATGGAAACCAGACGGCGGAGAAGGAAGAGTTTGAGCACCAGCTGAAGGAGCTGGAGAGGGTGTGCAGTCCTGTCATGGCCAGGCTGAGGCAGGGAGGGGCAGCGGGGAGCGAGCAATCGGGCAAGAGCTGTCCATCTACGGGCCCAACCGTGGAGGAAGTGGATTGAACGTCGCCGATGAACTTCCTGCCACTTTGGCACATGCTCAGATGATAATCTTTCCCACCTTCGGACACTTGGTTTTATATATATATATATATATATGTTTAAATGATAAGTTTGTAGACAGCCACACATATCTATATACAGCTTCATGCCAGATATCTGTACACACTGCAGCAGGGCAGGTTTCTGTAAATATGGGAGGACTTTACTTGACGTTTTCGTGGAATATAATATTCCTTGCGTTTGATACTCAATCCAGCACTGTTTGTGGGATGTTGCTGTGTACAATTGATGCTGCATTTCACCCAGAAAATAGTCACAGCGCTTTACAGGATATTCTGTGAAGCACTTTGACATGACTCAACCATGTGATAAGGAGCTATATCAAATGGAAGGATTATTATTGTCACAATTTGAGGCTTTCACGTCTCGAGGACATTGCAATTCACTTTACAGTGTGTTCTGTGAAGCGCTTTGGGACGTCCTCCCGACGTGAAAAGCGCTATATCAAATGCAAGGATTATTATTATTATTATTTCAAGGCGCTACACGGGATTTCACTGTGAAGTTTAGTGACTGCTGTAAAAACTGTATTACTTGGGCTTTCTCTATCTACATCACATTTCAGAGCATTACGGAATTTGGCTAATTCTTAAAAACACCTAAAACCTTAATTTTGCAGCTGTACTTTCTGTGAATTCTCGTTCCAGAAAACCCATTGTCAAATTGAGATTGTCGTCAAGTTTGTCAAAGTCTGGATATTCTATAATGTTGTAAGAAGTCAATTTAGAACTGATTTGGGATTTCACTCTTTGTACTTAAAAAGCAAATAATTGCCGATGTAAGAAAGGGAGAGAGGGACTACTTGGGAACTCATTCAAAGAGTTGGCATAGGCTCGATGGGCCGAATCGACTGCTTCTGTGCTGTAAGATTGTTTGATGTTTGTTTTGCTCCAATGATCTGTTGTGAATGTATGTCAATGTGTCAGCAGTGGGATTGTGAATATCATTTTATTAAACAGTTTATACCAGAGATATTTGTGTGTGTGTGTCGCAGTGTGTCAGACTGCCTCGGATGCTGGAGCTCTCACTTCTCAGTCACCTTTTCCTCACGTCTCCTGATGGATGTTGTTGAGCGATTTGAGGAACACAGTCATACGGTGAGACTTAAAATGACAGTGAACCTGGGCTTATACAGTGGAAGCCATTTAAGACGTACACGCCAGGGTCGGGCGTTTTGTCTGAATTAATCGGCGTCTGAATTTAACTGGTTTCAAATCTCACCCGGTTTGATCAGGAGGACATCCCAAGGCGCTGATACCAATTACTGGTATGTAAAGGCCTGAACAGAAAGCTCAGTATCATTCACAAGGAAAACATGGCAATTGTCCCTTTATAAGCAATATTTCCAGAAAAAGGGAGTAAAATTTACAGAAATTTAAACTTTTTTATTGAAAACTTCTCTCAAGTCAGACTGCACCAGATCAGTGTGGCGTCTCTCTCTGATGCTCGCAACAATGTCGTGAAGTGCGTTCGAACACTTGCCGTAGAGTCCGCTCTTTAGTAAGAAGCTTTCTGCCTCTCGCAGGCCGGTCAGAGCTGTGCCGGCCGTCACAGACGGGGCCTCGTTCTCCTCAGAGTCGCTGTCACTGTCGTTCTCGACTAGCAAGCGCTCGGCGGCCACAGCTTCAGTCACGATGGCCTCGTGGTCCTGGGGATCACGGCAGAGTAGATCAGCGTCAATGTCCAGGAACTGGTCAGTGATCTGCCTCTCGCCCTCGGCCTCTGCACTTGTCCTCCCCTCAGCCTCAGTGCAGGGAGCAGCGTCACCAGTCACAAACCCGGCCTTTGCGAAGCAGTCGGATATCATCTTAGGCTTCATGCTCTCCCAGGCCCTGGCAACCATACCGATGGCATCCAGTAGGCTGATGTGTCTCACCACCTCTCCCACCGTGGCGTGGGGACTGATCACGTTGCCTTCGATGGCGTCCAGGAGGCGCTTTCGTAGCTCCTCGCGGTAGGAGAGCTTCAGGTTTCGGATGACTCCTTGACCCATGGGCTGGATCAGAGTGGTGTCCGGGGGAATCAGCTCCAGGCAGATGTTCTCTAGGGTTGGAATGGGCAGGTGACATGGTGCGCTGTCCATGAAAACAAGAATCTTACGCCCCTGCTCGACCAGCTCTGTGTCCCACTGCATCAGCCAATCCTTAAAGATCCCTCTCGTCATCCACGCCATCTTATTGGCCTTATAGATGACGGGCAGAACAGTGAGGTCGACTCCCTTCATACAGCGAGGGCACTGGCTCTTCCCGATGACCAGCAGTTTGCGCCGGTCGCTGCCGGTCATGTTGGCGCAGACCATCAGCGCGATGCTGTCCATCGCCCTCTTCACACCGCTCAGCACCGTTCGGTGGAAATACAATGAGCCGTCGGGCGCCGCACGGTAGTACAGTCCCGTTTCCTCTGCGTTGTAGATGTCATCGGCGGCGTAGGAAGAGAGCAGCGCGCTGCTGGTGTCAGCGCCCTCTACGGCAGCGGTCTTCAGCTCTCCGGGAAGCAGTCTGTACACGATGTTGTTACGTGCCTTCCAGCGGCTAAACCAGCCGTCAGTCACCGTGAAGCCCGGCTTCCCGAGGTCACGTGCCAGGCTCTCTGCTTTGGCTTTGAGGATGGGCCCATTGAGCAGCTGCCCCTCAGTGGACGCCCTTTGGAACCACAGAAGGAGAGCGTGCTCCACCTGGGGATCTTTGCCTTTGCGATCCCTCTTCTTACGCAGACCAACATCGCCCTCGGCTAAGGAGGACGCTGTGTGGCGCAGCTTCATCTCACTGGCGATGATGTCGCCCAGGGTCGACTTCTTGACCCCGAGTCTTCTGGCCAGTTCTCGTAGCGGAGTTCCTCGCGGCTCCATCTTGACTCTGTCTAACACTTCTATCTTCTCCAAGAGCGTCCGAGACATTTTCTTCGACATTGCGGCTTTTTATCTCGCGCTGTGTGAGAGGATGACATGAATTAATGATGAAAGATAATAATCCGTATATTTGATATACAGCCCGATCACAGCGTTGAGACATCTCAAAGCACTTGACAGGCAGTGAAGGCGGTGGATAGTGAAAGCTTTGTTAGAGAAGGAGCCAACATTTTGGAGGGTGATGCGAATTGGGGAGCTGGTGGGAGAGGGTTTCGGGGAAAATGACTATCAAGTATGAGGGGTAAGAAATAATAATAATATTCCTTGAATTTGATATATCACATCTTTGAGACCTTATCACATCTTTGAGGTATTTCAAAGGGGTTCACAGAATAAACTGTGAAGTGAATTGACTGTGTAGTTTGTGGGCGGAGGATGGCAGCTAATTGCGTACAGCAGTGACCCACAGACACTCGTGGATTGAGTGACCAAATTATTATTTATTTTATTCAGTTGGGAAGGATGTGCATGAGGGCAGTGAGGGAAGGCGAGGGGTTACCATTCGGAGGCAGGGGAGGCAGGCCTTGCAGAGAGCGCTGACCATGGGGCAGTTGGGGTGGCGGCTCTGGGACAACCATTGCCAAGTGTTGCGGTGAGCCTGGTGGAGGATGCTCAGGCTGTGGAGGGGCTCAGGAGAGAGATCAGGCGAAGAGGGCGATAGGAGACAAGAATTGAATGTAATAATAATTCTTGCATTTGATATAGTGCCTCATCACATCTTTCAGACGTCCCAAAGGGCTTCACACAATTTTGTGTAAAGTGAATTGACTGTGCATTTTGTGGGCGAAACGTAATAATTATCCATGCGTTTGGTATAGTGACTTACCACATAGTCACGACGTCTCGAAGCG